GGAAATGCAGCGCAGGGAAACGCTGGGTTTGCCATGGGTGATGCTGGGAGTCAATGGGAGCTTCGCAACACGGTTCTCACGGAATTTCTCTTTCTGTGCACGGCGTTAACCGGCAGCAGACCCACGTGCTGGGAGCCGCGGCACTGCTTGTCCCACGGCAGGCTTGCGGGATGCCACAGAACAGGGAATTACTTCAGGTGGAGGCTGGAGACGGGGAGTATCTTACTGGTGTTTTCCCCAGTGCTGCGGTTTATCCCTCCACTGTGGCCGTCAGGGACACGGAGGTGCCTCGGGAGATGCTGGGGCGGATGGAGCGCCGTAAGGGGCAGCTTCCTCCAGCTTTGTGCCCTGGGAGGAGGCTACAGCGAGCTCGGGCTGCCAGGAGGTGCGGGACGAAACGGTCTGGATGCGGGAGGAATCTTGGTGAACATCACATCTTCGGCTGCCCCTGTGTCGGGTCAGGGCACCCCTCTGCTTCCCGACGAAGCGCTCGTCCCGCCGTTGGACAAGCGAAGAGCCGAGCTAAGGCGCTTCACGGGGCTCGGACGTATGTCCAGAAGGAAAGGGGCTGGATCTCACCGTGCGGTGTCACACGAGCTGCCGAGGGCAGAGCTGCCCCCCAGAGCCCAGCACCAACAAACTACACTTCTCTCTCACCCCGAGATGTTCTCCCCCTGCGCACAGAGGGGCATGTTTGGTTGTTTAAGATTTAAAACCATCTACCACTGAGACACTGTTCCGTAATGAGGCAGGACTGGGGAGGATGTAATCAATCCATTTCTCGATACCAGAGAAGCGAGAGGCTTGGAAGTGAGCGATATGCCATCCACCAGGTCAGACCCTGCCTTCCCTTGTCCTCTCTGCTTAATTCTTCCAAGTTTGAAAATGATTCTTTGCTTCCGCTTCTTTTCCTCACAAAAGCAAATTCTGATACAAACAGAGTGGGATGGGAATGGGTTTATTTCTTTGCTATTTTAATACAAGTATTCACGTATTTCTGACCACAATTTCTCAAAACAGTATATAGATATATAAAGAAGGAGATGAGTGGACTTGTAGCTGCTTTGAAACATTTGCCAAATTTCAGGTTCTGAAGGATTGAGGGGTCCTTCTGGGCCGTGACACCACTGCTCGCTGCACAGCCTTGTCTTCTATCGGGGGGTTGGAGTCAGCTGGGAAAGAGCAGATCTGCAGCCCCACAAGGAGAAACGGAACATCCTGGACAGATGTCGGGTCAGGCCCATGCAGTTTCAGCTGAAGCTTTCCAGACTGGTTTTGACCCGTTCCATTTCATGCAGAAAACTGTAGAACTGGGGCAAAGTTAACTCTGCAGAGTAAAAAAACCAAAGGCATCAAGTTTTAGATTTCAGGTGACACTTCCAACATCGGAAAAGTCGTTTTGCTGCTACCACGGAGCAACGCGCGTTCGCCTCGGCTGGGCAGGACCGGACACCGGCTCTCGGCAGCCGTTTGTTTACAGGAGCTGGGCTGCGCGGGGTTCCGGGCTCGGATTCTCCTAACAGCAACCCATGCTTGGGAATTGTTTACTTTCTCTGCCTGCCGTGCTGCTCTGCCCGCCCTCCATGGCCCCGTGGCCTATCTATATTTAATTACGCAAAGATGTGAAGACTGCCCGACAGTCGGTGTTCCTAAACGCTTCCAGAGCGAGTGCAGCCGGGAGAGGCCAGGGCAGGAGCAGCAGCCACCAGTCACGCTCCGACACCTGCTGGGTCTGCACCCAAAGCTCCCCCACCTCCAGCAACACCCGGGAGCTCTGAGCTGCCGCTCCGCTTTCACCTACTCGAACGCTTGCTTCTTTTTCCAGAACTGTTAACTCACCTATATATACGTTTTCCATTTGGCTCCCTTTTTTAACCACCAGCTTCAGCTTGGGGAAACAAAAAGCAGAGGCGTTTGAATTCAGAGACCTGTATCCTGAGCACCACGGAAAGACAGAGGCGCAGGAGTCTGCTGTGAGTTTCAGACAGGCGGACTGCTGCAAAGCACGCACGTCTTTGACAGGCTTTTTGGGCAGCATCCGTGTAGGAACAGATTCCTTAGGCATTGGGAGGATCTCTGGAAGTCCTTATAAACGATCATTTTCCCCTCCCTCCCCAAGACAGCGTGACCTTTGCTGGACTGAGCTTTTTGAGCAGCTTTTCAGCGGGCTGTGCTTCTGTGAGACATGATGCCTTCAGAAGAGAAACAAACAGCAGTGGGCCCGCTCTCGGCCGGCGGCTGCGCTCAGAAGACTGACGCAGATGCACCGCTGCAGAGCTTGTTGCTGTGCGACCCAGCCTTCCTCTAGTCCCTCTCACAGCCAGTACTTCCCACAGGCCGGGTCCCAGCTCGTCCCTTAACTGCGCTACAGCCCGAACTCTCTGATGTAGGAGATTTACCTGTAAGAAGATACTTCCCACTTTTTCCAGTTCGCTGCTCCCAGCAGTCACTGTGAGTCAGAAAGAAGAGAAGGGAGATAACCTGTTAGCCAAACTGTGAAATAAAAAGTTATTTAGCTGAGAGCTGCTGTTGGGTTTCCCAACCCATTCGGTTTGTGGTTTAGCTCGATTACCTCCAAACTTCCACTCCATATCTATCAGCTGGTTAATCATCAGCGTCTGACCAACAGCCAGGCGTGTTAGGGTGGGGGAATGCACCTTCCACTGCAATAGCAAAAGACACACAAGCAATCAATTCAGAGAGGCCTCTATTATGTTACCTGTAATTTCAACATAAATTGGAGGCTAGGCAGACTGCTGGCAGAAGCCCAAAGTGGTGGAGGCGTGTAAAGGGGCAAACTAATGTGTTCAGGAGGGCTTTCAAAGATACCTGAGTCCTGCTAGGATTTCCATCTGCCTTGTCGCTTCTGTAAATGAAACTCACTGTTTTTGTTTTAACACTGGTTCAGCGTAACAATATCTGAGCAAAAAGTCATGTGTTGCTGTAACTGCCTGACCCCGGGGCTCAAAGCATGCAAAGCAGAGAAGCGATCGAACGGAAGCCACACAGAAGCGCAGGAATCACTAAACCGATGAGGCAGAGGCCAGGGCAAACCAGAATTATCACTAGACAAAGTGTTCCTTATCAGTTATCCAAGGATCTGCAGTTCAGAACTCTGAGCTGCTTTTGAAGAAAGTACCCGAAGCGCAGACACATCTCAGTACTACCCCGGGGTTTCACAAGTTCCCACTCAGACTGTCATTTTGTCCCCTTAGAAACAAGCAAAAATATATCAATACCTGTTCTGCAAAATAACTGGCTTTCTCTTCACTGAGGCCTGCGGGAGAAACCATACGAGATTACTATATGTGATAAATATTAATTACCTTTTATTTAGTGAAAGTCAGGTGACCTACCTAGAGCAATAAAATCTGCTCTGACTTGTTCCGGAGACAAATTCCTCTTCAGGGCACCTGAATAAACAACACAAAGAAGAAAAATCACTTTTTACTCAGTGAAACCAATCTTTACTTAAAGTAAAATAAATGCAGGGACGGAGACCCTGCGACAGAAACCCTCTGTCCGTGGACTGTGTTTTGAAACAAACCACAGCTCGTCAGGAGAGGAAATAAGAGTTGTGCCCGCCGCTATCTCCGCAGATGCCCAGTGCTCTAAAAGTCAGGGCGATGGGAGTGCCCGAGAGAGGGAGAGATTTCATTGCAGGTATCCATGGAAACAGCAGCAGCGGTTGTGTTTTGAAGCTGCTGCTTTCTCTCCTATCGAAGCTTTGCTTGTTAAAGGAGAACTGTTAAGGCTGGCAGGCTACTAATTCGACCTACCTGCTGTGTTTTGGATTACGGGTGCGAACCGTGCACACACCACTGCTCCCGCTGCGCCTGCCTCCTTTGTTCTGGGCACAGGCAGCACATGGCAGTTTACAAGGATTCTGTTCTCTGAAGCCAAGAGCAGGAACCTCGTAAATTCAAAGAGACTGCCAGTCTCACGAGGCTTTCCGTCTGCGTAGCACACAGGCAAAGTTCTCCGCTGGAATCTCTTCCCAAACTGTCTGTGGCATCCCAGAGCTAACAAAAAGTTACCGCGGGATCGGAGCCAGTGCATGCAGCCAGGAACGCCGAGACTGAGTGCACTTAGTCCAGAACCAGGAAGGGAGAAAATGCTGATTTCGCATTAAAGACCCCCAAGACAGTTGTAGGAAGGGAAATCACTCGGTGTTGCTCCTGGACAGAAGAAATGGCTTGTAGTAGTAGAATGAAAGTTTAGACCAAACGCAGGAAACAGTTGTGCACGGCTCCACGGCTGCGAAGGAAGCTATGGGGAACCCAGGACTGACGGGTCAGAGGGAGGGACTAGTAATAACAAGAAGGATCAATGGGATGAACACCCAGTGGAGGTGTTTGAGGCGTTATCACATCAAACAGCAGCCACATCAGGGTAATCTCATAAAGTGCTGGAGTCTGGGGTATTCAAGGGGAATCCCTCTGCCCCTCTTCCCCACTATTTATGAATGAGAAACTGCTGGACATGTAAATGTTTTTCTAAAACAAGACTGTAAGGACAGATGTCTTTTACACAGCCTAGAACCGTGCTGTTTCCAGCCCACTCTAGAGGGGTCTGTACACTGTCTTATCCGCCCCAACCAGCGCTTGTCCTTGTAGGAATTACAGTACTGGGTCACTTGGATGGAAGTTCCTACAAAGATTTATTGCCAACACAAGGCTGCACTAGTCTGGCAAAAATGGATTTACAGGTCCAAGTTAAACCAAGCACTGTCACAGTGTTGTGTTTGCAACAAGTGCACAGATATTTAAGTGTGTGCACAGATATTTAAGTGTGTCCAGGCAGGACGTAAATAATACAAAGCCCCAGTCACCAAATAGGGATATTTCCACAGAGGAATTTTTGATTCTTAAATGCTAAGCCATTTATTAGCCACCATTAGCACTCATTGTGCAAACCAAGTGCACTGCAGCTCCGAAGACACACTTTAGCAGCATGCAGGAACAGACACAATAGTTTGGCCTCAGGGTAGCATATGCAAATGTATCACTTACCATTAGGTACCAGAAGAACACTCTTGACAATGTTTTTCAGGGGGCCCAAGCTGATTTTATTCATGGTGGCAAAGTCTGAGAGCTGAGTCAGAAACCTTTCTACCTGCTCAAGAGAAAGAGCAGCGACACAATCTTATCTCTGCATGTTTCTCACCAGAGAGCTGCATTCACACACTTCCTGGGGTTCTGCACATGCCTCACCTCCTTGGGCTCCGTCAGAAAGCGGAAGAGCACTTCAGTCAGCGCTGCGAATTGCTGTGAAGAAACAGGACAGTGTTACAGAGCTGGGCATCAATCATTTTGCAGCACTTCACCACCCCCCTCACCACCAGGACTAGGTGGTGATGTACCCCCCTGACGCGGCTCCAGCTGCCTCCAGCACGTTGGTCCCAGAGTTTGACCTCCCGTGCCGGTACGGTTCCCCAGTTCTCGGCATTACAAGATGCCTACGGATGGGATTTGCTCACAGACGCTTTTCAGAGATTCTCAAAGGGTTTGAGCACATGGTAGCTGGCACCGCACAGGGCTTTTGTGACTCTTGGCTAATCAGAAGCTGCTGTTCTATTCTGAGCAATCCAAAAACTGTGAGCAGGAAAAGACGCCAACATCTACTCTCCTAACATCTACTCTCGTGTTTCACAAACCCCACGGGGCAACCACACTAACTCGGGAAAGGAAAAGAACTTGTTAAAGGTCTACTTGCTGCCTTCGGTTTTCTGAGCACGCAGCTGGCAGGGCGGGAGAGCCTGCCTGATGGCA